ATATTTAAGCAGGGTTTAAATTTATTCACAATTTTCCACATCACTACACTTTTTGGATTCATCACCCTCTGTATGTCGGCCAACATAGCTCGATTCCGAATCCAGGTGGACATTTCGGGTCGGGTTGTGTCAGTGTGTGTGTGTGTGTGTGTGTGTGTGTGTGTGTGTGTGTATGTGGCATATAAATCTTAGATTTGAAGTCTCTTATTATATTACAATGAATATGAAACGGCTACAAATTTTTTTATTGAAATAAAAACAATGTAATAATACGAAATAATAAATTGCAACATAATGTATTCATAGTGTTAAAAAATTGTAAACAATAAGTTGCAACATAATGTATCCATAGTGTTAAAAAATTATAAACAAGCTATATAGTAATGTACCCTACCCAAAAATTGTAAAATTTTGATTGAAATTTTATTATACCAAAATTTTAGACTAAGATTGTCACATCCCGACCCGGGCTCCACCACATCTCGGGCTCAACTTCGCTGTAGCACGATATTGTCCGCTTTGGGCCCCGACCACGTTCTCACGGTTTTTGTTTCTGGGAACTCACACGAGAACTTCACAATGGGTCACCCATCCTGGGATTGCTTTTGCGCAAACTCGCTTAACTTCAGAGTTCCGATGAACTTCGAAGCCAGTGAGTTCCCAAAAGGCCTCGTACTATATGAAGGTGGGCATGTACATATAAGGCATAGATGATCCACTCCCCTGGATTATGTGGGATCTAACAAAGATTTTATTAATTTGAATACTTTGATTAAAAGACAAAGTATTAAATTTTAGTATTAATTTCTCCCCATAATCTTTCAAAGATTAATAATTCGTCTTATACTTATCATATTTGTTAGTTTTTCACAAAATAAATTATTTTATTTTTTAAACAAGGGAACTTCTCTCTCTCTTTTTTTTTTTAAATTTTTTTTTTTTATGTTTTAAACAAGGGTACATTTGAAATTGAAAACGGGTTACATTTATAGATTTTACATTTAAAAAATGGGTTCATTTTATTTTAAAAAATGGTACATTTACAAAACCAAAAAAGTGCGTCATTTTACATACAAAAAGTGATACATTTATAAAGAAGAATGGATACATTATGGATAAATTATGGGTACAAATAAAAAGTTAAAAAAACCTAGACTAGAAATATATCTTTTAAAGAAAGGGCACAAAAATAAATTAATATATGGGTACAAATTAAAACTAAAAAGAAATTAGTACAAATTTAAAAAAAGGTTTGCAAATTAAATTTGGGTACAAACTAAAAATTAAAATATATTATACAAAGTATAGTCATAAATATAAATATACTAAATGGAACGTTTCTAATATTAAATTAATATATTTTAAAAAAGCTTTAATTATGCTAATATATATTTTATTATTAAAATAATAACATTAATTAAAAATTAAGTTGATAAAAAAATTATAAAAAAATAAAATTTTAATTAATGAAATGGAAGAAAGAAAAACTTTTCCTCAATGAAAAGTAAAAACTACAGTAATTAGAATTGCGAGCCATGTATATATATGGAGCCGTAGAGGTTTGTCGTGACAACCATGATGAAGGGAATCTTGTGAACGTGGCAGAATCACACGGTGATGTATCAATTTAAGTGACATGTGTCAGCCCCTCTTCGACTGGTACACTCCCAATTTGGAAAAATTAAAACCTATAAAACGGAAAAATAGAATGACGTCAGCTTCAGATACCGGACCCTCCCTATTATACAAAAAGCAGATTTTCTTTCTCAAGCCTCTTTTTTTTTTTTTTTTTTTTTTTTTGTTCGGCAAACGAAATTATCTGTACGTAGAAAAATAAATTAAGTTTCACAATAAACTAGTAATAATATAATTTAAATTCATCTTTGGTAAATATTAAACTTGAGATCCTTAACTTAACAATGAAGGAAAATATCACTAGACTGTAGTATTAGGTAGTTACAACCTCTCACTTACAATTAAAGAGGAATACACTAGCGAGAATCGAATCTAAAACATCTCAATTACAAATCAAGCCACTTGGTACTACGGTCTAGTGGTATTTATATTTATTTATAAATAAAAAAATTTAGGTTTAATTTTCCCTACAAGCGAATTTGAACAACTTAACTTATCTCATTCTCGTTAACATAGGTAATATTGTTTTGTTCAAAAAAATATACAAATCAAAATTAAGTCTGTTACGTCTTGACGTGACGTGGAACCCATTTTCCGTGTATAAAATTTTACGCCGGCCCAGTGGGTCCCGTTGGCTCCACAAGACGAAGTCGACGTCTGAAGCCTCCACTCCCTCCCATCATCGTGGGCCCCACATGAATGCATTCACTGGGTGTTACACTCCAGATTATATTGTTCTCTCCCTCTTTTGTTTTTTTTTTTTTTTTTTTTTTTTTTCCTCCTATATGAACGGTTACGATTAAGTCACGTTAACATCTTATATTAATTGTCCATTACAATATGGAGGGGAGCGAACGGTGCACTTGCACTGAGGATGTTCCACGTGGCAATTTGTTGACACTAAGCTCGTTTTGGTTGGTGAAGCGTTGTTCCTGATGTCAACGTGCGTTGAAGTAAAAGTTGACCCTTAGACCATTAGGAATGTTTTAGTGGTTCGGGACGAATTTTAAGCTCATACATATGAGGCACATTTTTTAGTCCAATTCTTAATGATTAAAATATATTTGCGAACCTTTTCAGTTGTCGAAAAAGTAAATTACCGTGACAAAGTTACTAGCTATTCTCTTTTTTAAAAAGAAAGAAAAAGTCAGACCCCTTCCTCACATAGGTTTGTGTATGGAAGAAACTATTTCTCACACGACCTAGAGCAGGTGTTGATCACTCGCTTGACATCTCATCGGCTCATAGCAAAGTAAACATGACTCGGATCATATTTTTCATTGGTTGAGGAGAGCAAACTACATATGATCGATTCACTAGTGAGACGTTCCGATCTGATAATGTATTGTTGCAGAGAAAAATATTATGCGTAATATATATTAAATCAGATCACTACATGACAGTATATTTATTTAGTAAAATTTGTTCTTCTGCTTTGAGATCTCCAATGGTTGATAAGGATTATAAACTCTATTACATTTTGCATTATTGTGTTTTGGCTTCTTTAAGATTCCGATCCATGTCTTTCAAAAATTGGCAAAAAAATTATAGGGTTAAGAAACCATTACCTCATTGTCCATTCAAGTATCTATTGTTTGCTTATACTTTGTCTACCCTAATTGTGTTCTTGAGCCTGGACATACCAATGAAGTCAAGAATGTCATCACTAGAGAAAGAGAGAAGCTTAAGTGAACCGTCAAGTTTAAACTTAATCAGGTGTTTTATCAAAGGGATGATTCTTCTATTACCATATTTACACTCAATTCAATCCACATATATAATAGAGATATTTGTCATTTTTACAACCGAATTTGTAAGGAACTATCAATTTTTCCGTAAACTTTATAATTGCAAAAAGTAATTTTATCCCCCTAATGTGGATAACATATTGTATTTTTCTTCTTCTTCTTCTTCTTCTCTTCCGCCTACACTTTTTGTATGAATTTTAGGGTTTAGAGTTTTGGGGGGAAATTAAAGCTCAGGGAAACATCGTCTAATTATAAAACTTTAAGGAGTAATTGGTTAAAATTAAAATTCCGAGTAGTCAATTATAAAATTTAAGAAAGTATTCGACTAAAATTAAAATTTAAGTAAAAATTGATAGGTCGCACGAGGGAATTTCAGTAGTAATTGGACCTTCTAATTATAAAATTGATAGGTCCACGCCTTTCTTATAATTTAATTAGCCTACAATTAGAAGGCCCAATTACTATTGAAATTCCCTCTCCTTGATGAGGCATGTGGTCCATAAAATCGTAGAATATGCATCCAATAAAGTTCATACTTACCCGTTTGCCATTTTCTATTAGAGTTTAAGATGATTCATTTGAGTTATGCAAATTTTTAAGTTGTAACTCATCCTTATGCACACGAAAATATTAAATATAAGATTTTTTTTTATTTTTTTTTATTTTTTATACTGGTTGTAGGATCCGTGCTTGGTGTAGCGCACCTTGAGCTTAATACGTATTCAATTGATAAAAGAGCATTAAAAATAGATGTCATGAAAAATTCGACTTCAAAAGGGTTCTTGCAAACTAGATCTAAAAACATTACAATAGAACATCATTAATTACAAAATAATGAGTAAACTTTAAACACTCGTCCGAACTCATCGAGAACCGTACGATTATACATATCAAAATAAAGCATAGAAAAAACGACAGAAGTTTCGGAAGTCAGTCCTCAACAGTTTATAAATAAACACCAAAGCTCCAATTCTACTAAACTGAAGAATCAATGCTCAAATTTCCTTGTCAGTCGACTGGATATAGCAAATTGGCAAATAGGTGTAAAAACGCGCTCATCAAGGGCAGTGGGGGGATGCAAATGAATTTGGGTACACAGCGCAGCTGGACCCACATTTCATTCTGAGTATTAATATTCACATCATGTTTTTGTATTATATTTTTATACCATCTTAAATAGTATTTGATGTGAACAAGTACATCATTTGAAAAAAACAAAATTTTCAAATAATGTGATTGTCCACATCAGATACCATGTAAGGTGTTATAGAAATATGATATAAAAATATAGTATGAATAACATTATTATTTCATTCTTGAGTCGAAAAGGCTCTCAGTTACGAAAACCATTTCATATGTATCGAAACACGAATAATACAACACGTATTTTTATATAATGATAATAAATTTTATTTTTAAATTATTAATTTTTTAACATACATATTTAACTATTTATATAATAATAAATAATGTACTACTCAATATTTCAATCTTACTGAAAAATCTGTGTTCAGTCACACTCACCACACAAATTCTCAAATCAAAATTTACCATTTTAAAAATAAATAAATTAAAAATCACAATCCTAAAAGCCCACGAATGAAATATAAAAAAAAATCCCAATTAGTATGGCCTCCAATGTTTCCTTATCTCTTCCACTCTCTTACCTCCCTGTTCCTCCATTGTACCTCCCTTCCCCCTCTCTCTCTCTCTCGAAAAAGGTAAACACTGCAAAAATTAAAAGCCTAAAATCCCATTTGACCAACATGCACAGAGCTTAGTGGGTGTTTCTATATCTTTCAGTGCCTTCTTCTGTGTTTCTCACAAACCGAAGAGATGAAGAGAGAACACTGCCATAGCTCTGCAACTGCAAGTCAGAACAATTCCAAACCAGAATACCCATCACCGCCGTCTTCCACCCTGAACGGCAAGGCCAAGATTTGGGTAGATGAACAAGGCTACAGCGGCAGCGGCGGTATGGACGAGCTGCTTGCCGTTTTGGGATACAAGGTTCGGACCGACGACATGGCCGACGTGGCCGAGAAGCTCGAGCAGCTCGAGATGGTCATGGGGTCGGCTCAGGAAGATGGGATTTCTCAGCTCTCTGACACCGTCCATTACAACCCGTCCGATCTCTCCGGGTGGGTCCAAAGCATGCTCTCTGAGCTCAACACCGGCGATGATATGCCCTCAATCAGTGGCCCTCTTCTCGCTCCAGGGGAGTCCTCGACGATAACGTCGACGAAATTCTGCAATTCCCAGCGGACTCGGGTTTTCAGCGACGATTCCGAATACGATCTCAGGGCTATTCCTGGCGTGGCGGCGTACCCGCCGGCACATTCGTCGACGGAGACCGAGAGTACGAGAAAGCGATTGAAGACCTCAATTGGGTCTAATTCCGGCGGGATTGAAGTCTCCGGCGCTGTATCCGACCCGACTCGGCCTCTGGTCCTGGTTGACTCACAAGAAACCGGCGTCCAACTCGTCCACACACTCATGGCCTGTGCTGAGGCTGTCCAGCAGGAAAACTTAAAGCTTGCAGACGCGCTTGTGAAGCACGTGGGCCTACTCGCGGCTGCCCAAACCGGAGCTATGAGGAAAGTCGCCACGTACTTCGCTGAAGCTCTGGCTCGTCGGATTTACCGAATATACCCTCAGGATTGCCTCAATTCTTCCTACTCGGACATTCTCCTGATGCACTTTTACGAGACCTGCCCTTACCTGAAATTTGCCCACTTCACTGCCAACCAGGCAATACTCGAGGCTTTTGCCACGGCGACCAGAGTACACGTCATCGATTTCGGGCTTAAACAGGGGATGCAATGGCCAGCGCTCATGCAGGCGTTGGCACTAAGGCCCGGCGGCCCACCCGCGTTTCGCCTGACAGGTATTGGGCCGCCGCAGCGCGATAACACCGACGCGCTGCAGCAGGTGGGATGGAAGTTGGCTCAATTGGCAGAAACTATTGGGGTCGAGTTTGAATTTCGAGGATTCGTCGCCAGTAGTCTGGCTGACCTCGAGCCGTCTATGCTCGACATCCGTCAGGACGAGGCCGTGGCGGTGAATTCGGTTTTCGAGCTTCACGGCCTCTTGGCTCGAGCCGGGGCGGTGGACAAAGTGTTGTCATCAATCAAGGCCATGAAGCCTAAAATTGTGACTATTGTGGAGCAGGAGGCGAACCATAACGGGCCGGCTTTCTTGGACCGGTTCACGGAGGCATTGCATTATTATTCAAGCTTGTTTGACTCTCTGGAGGGATCGTCCGGGCCGAGTCAAGATTTGGTCATGTCGGAGGTCTATTTGGGTAGGCAGATATGCAACGTGGTGGCATGTGAAGGTGGGGACCGAGTTGAGCGACACGAGACGCTGACTCAGTGGCGAGGCCGGATGGACTCCGCCGGGTTCGACCCAGTCCACCTCGGATCGAACGCGTTCAAGCAGGCTAGCATGCTGCTTGCTCTTTTCGCCGGCGTAGATGGGTATCGGGTGGAGGAGGACAATGGGTCTCTCATGCTCGGGTGGCACACGCGGCCGCTCATAGTCACCTCGGCTTGGAAGCTGGCGAGCTCAACGGATTGAGTGAATGAGTCAGTTTCAGTCGGTTCAGCGGCGGTGATTGATTGAACCACCGGGCACCACTGTGACCATGTGAGTTGTGAATTGTCAGTAGGGTGAGTGGGGACTACAATGAAAGTGAAACTGTGAAACCAATCCAATCGAATCAAGTGGTGTAAACTGTGTAGTTGTAATTGTAATGGTAGTTTTTTTTTTCATTTTCTTTATGGGCCCTTTTGCACAAGTTCAAGTTGTAGAGTCCTTTCGACAAGGGGGATGAATGAATCATTGTGATGATGTGTAACTATCCATCTTTTCTTGAATAAAATGATGAGCATTGATTCTTGAATGAGAAAGAAACCATTTTGCTCTCTGTAAATTTGACACATTATCGTTATCTGGAAGCTATAGGAGAAGGGAGGCAGATGGTCTGTCTTCCTGTTTGGGTGCCTTTTCTATTTTCTTCTATTTGTACGGTCACGATTAATCCATGTTAACATTTTATATTTTTATTCTTTTTTGTCTTATTATTTCTATAAAAAAATCAATATAACGTTAATATAACTTAACCGTGACTGCATAAAATAGGAAAGGATGAGAAGGGCACCAAACAGGAGGGCAGACAATCTGCCTCCTAGGAGAAGAACTTGAATGGACCGAGAAAGCAGAATGCTACCACTTTGGCATCCTTGTTCAATACACTGTCATGTACGGTGAGATTAGCAGTAACATTGTATTATTGAACCGACCGAGATTTCAGTGTGACGGTGTAACCATAGGGTAGGGTTGACTTAGGTGGTGTAACCATAGGGTAGGGTTGACTTAGGTGGTGATGAAGATGAAGATGAAGATGAAGATGATGTTGATGATTCTAAATATAGAAACATGGCCTGCATATGCTATGTCACCATCTGAAAGAGAAACTGCCGGTAACACAAGCATGACTAATATTATAACAAAGTGCTCCTGGTTTTAAGTAGTAGTTATCAGCTCAAAAAATTGGACTCAGTTTGGTCTTTCTTTTTTATTTTTGTTTATCTGTCTTTGAAGTGGATATATATATCCGTACTACGAATCGTTTTTAACAGTTAGCATTAGTCGAAAAAAACCGGCGAGTGATTACCTATCTGGTTGGGTTGGGGTTTGTCCAAGCTCACTCTTTGGATAGGCAAAACAATCCCGCAAAATGATTCACCCTCGATTGTCGAAGTGCTTCTTATGAGCTTTTTTGGGATTACTTTTGAAAGAGTTAAAAATGTTTTTTGACAACTAAAAGTGCTTCTAATGACACGTCATGTACTTCTACATGAAACACTTGAATTGTTTTAGCACAAAGGTTTTTAATAAAAATTCCAGTAAAAACACTTATGAATATAAGTACTTCCAGCATAAGCAATCAGAAACAAGACCTTAGGGACAATTTAGTATTGGGGCTTTCTATATAAATTGCTTATACTCATGCTTTTTGAATAATCAACAGTAAAGAACAATGTCATTGTGTTTGATAATTTTGATATATAACTTTAATGTATGAGTATAATGGTTAAAATGGACATGATGTTTGAAGTTGTATGTACTAAACAATTTATTAAAAAAAAATTGAATTACATTTATGATGATAGGGTGGGGGCAGTAAGAAAAATGAGTGTACGAATAACACTATCCCTTATTTATGGTAGTAGGAAAGTAAATTCCTTACCCCTTTAAGTATTACAACTGAAATAGAACATTATCTAAAATATATTATTCACACACCCATTTTTAGCTCTCACACACTTTTGTTAATTTATCTATTGATCTTCCTCAATTTATTCGATCCAAAGATCGAAAATTAAAAGAATTGTGTGAAAAGTGAAAATAGGTATGTGAATAATACCATCCTTTAATAATAATGAAGGCCGCTTTGTGTAAACCAAATGTGAAGTAGGTACAGGCAAACCATAAGCTAATGTTTAGCTAGTACTAAATTATGACCATCCCTAATGCAAGAGAGTGATTATATAGGCTTCAGCCTTCAGTGCACACAATAATTTCTACTATATGCAGTGAAATGTGAGCTTAGTCTCATAGTGGACTAACAATAATGTGGTTCAACTTCGCTTTTGGCGAGAATCGAACCTAAAACCTCTCACTTACAAGTGAAGAGGAATACTACTAGACAGTAGTTCTAAGTGACCTATATTTTAATTAACTTTCGGCATGCAATTATCTTGTGGATGATCAATGGGAATGAGGATCCTCTCCGAATCCTCTTTGTGAGGATCCCGAGGATCCTCCAATCACATCCGTTTATTGTATATCGTGTGGTCAGATTTCGCCAGGTAATGTTTATATTTAATTTTAAATAAAATGATTTACAATGATTTCTGACCGCACTGTATACAATGAATGTATATGATTGAAAGATTCCCAAAATACTCACAAAGAAGATTTGGAGAGGATCCTCATTCTATCAATGGATCCTTGTATGACTAAATCAGGTTACATGGACCACATAGAGGCAGGATTAATAATCCCAGCGGCAACCAGGCAGGCAGGCACCTTTGTTGCCCTTAAAATTGGATAGGCATTCATTGGTTCTTGGGCAGAAATCATGTTGGAAAAGCTGAACTTGGCCAACTTTCCGGAGTACTTGACTTGCGTGTAGGTTCTACGGGATTTTGCTTAGATACTCTAAATGTTTTAACTGTTAGATTTTCACTTAAATTTTTTAAAATTAAGAACGGTTCAAATGTTCGGAGTATTCTCTATTTCGGGGTACCTAGAATTGTTGCATAGGTAGACTAATCAAAGTTGTACCAAAGCATTGTAGTATCCTATGTATTCATAATGCAATGACAATGAAGAATGAAAGTAAATTGCATCCATAAGAGAGGAATGATTAAACATGAATCATGAATGCATTGAGGACAGGGTAGAGCAAAACAGGATGCATCGAGTTCACAAGTACAATTGGAAATTCCGATTCGAAGAGTTCATACTTTGCTTGGCACATTTGAATTATATTGCGTTTTGAATTTGTAGATTTAAAAGCTAAAAAATGATTCGAAGTGTTCGCCTTTTGCACACACTCTCTTACGTCTAATCCTTAATTTGTTCAATAAAATAGCTAAAAAGAATATATGCTCATGAGTCATAAGGTGAAAAAGTGTGTGAAAATTATTTCCCTAGCTGTTTCTTTACTATATATATATATTTGTCAATTTCGTTATCTACTTGGTAGTTGTTGGAGCTGTTCTCCAACTGTCAAGGAATGGAACCTGCGCAAGTTAAAAATAGGCAAACACCATGAGTCCAAGCGTCGGGGAGGGTGGTTCCCAGCATGAAGGCTCCGATGCTTAAGTTAGCAAGGATGGGGAAAAGAGGTGCAATGTATTTTGGGGTTATGAGTGTCTCACCAAGTGTTTTTATAGGCCTTGCCGAATCGGTCCACATCATCCGACATTTCCTTGAGTTGTCGTGAATAAAGGAGGCCGATAAGGGGATTGTTTTAATGTACAGGTGCCACGTCGGAGAAGGATTGTTTGTCTCTTCTCCATCATGGGCGGGAGGCACGGCTGTGCCTAGAGTCTGACACTTCACGTGAGTGAGAAGGTACTGTATAGTCTAGTATGAGCGGCCTAGTACCAGGGTGGAGATAACTAACTAAGCTCGTACTTTGGAGTCCGGGGTCCGAGTTGGTTATTTCGATCATACCGGGAACCACCTGATTAGATCAATCTCCTGTGAAGGGTAGGCTTAGCCTTCTACTCACTCAGGGTCTAGCCCCAACGAGTGAGTGTACATTATCATCACTCCGGGAAGGTGGTATTTTGAGCCCTATAGTAGTATATCATTGTCACGCTCCGATCCCGACATACATCCAAGATCGACACGTGACGTCACCACATTCCTATTTATCTATCATGTCTCGCCTCCGAGACAAGACCAAAACACACTCAATGATTTAACCACGCAATCATTTTCTTTTATTTTATGGCTGCATTTAACATTTGTGTTAGACTGCATACGTACCCTAAGAAGGGATCAAGCCATTCGTAGTTCACCATTCACTAAACTCATACATTTATCCCAGTGCGTTCTAATTTGGCATAGCATTCCTCAATCAATTGTTGGGACTTGACAAGCATGAATTACTAGATTCAGGACAATTGGACTTCTTATGTCGGGATATGGGTCAAATAATAAATATTCCTTTTTAGGTGGTCTACGAGCTATTGCTCAATCGATTAGTTATGAAATACCATTAACTTTATGTATGTTATCAATATCTTTACGTGCGATTTGTTGATACATAGACATACATTTTTCTCTATTCCTTCCTTCCTTAACAACTCACATGACATTCAAGATTTCCATTTCATCAATCATATAAATCATTATGTTTTCCATGTGATACCTTAATCCATAGCATGTAACATATCAAAGAACCAACGAAGCACAATAATATTCTCAAGCCACATTGATCAACTAATCTAATCATAATAATAACAATCATATCCAACATCATTCCACATTCACGTCAATTAATCAATTCCATGAATCAAAGATGCACGATATTAACATTTAACTACGTTAATTAATCACTAAGATAACATATCATTTCACAAAATTTAATAAAGGAATTCTACGTATTTCCTACTTGGATTCCAAGTAATAGCAGAGGAAATCCAATTTATAAGCACAATGTCTACTATGAGCAATTCTCATTCACTTGATTCTAGGGTTCCAAACTAGCTTTATGGAAATGAGCAAGAGCAAGGATTCCGGACCACTCAACGAAATCCAACTAAAATATGGCACCTACCGAATGTACCAAGTACAACTAATTCTCATCACCCCTAGAATGCATATGGTCCCCCATTGTGAATATACCAAGTAGAACCATAGGCATAATCTAAGCTTGCAAGCAGTGATCACCCATCACGAGTATACCAAGCATGATCACCCTTGAAATACGTATGGTCCCCCATCGCGGATATACTAAGCATGATCATTCCTAGAATGCGTATGGCCCCTCATTGCGAATAAACCAAGCAGAACATAGGCACAGTGTAATAGCGTAGGCAGTGATCACCCATCGCGGATCTACCAAGCATGATCACCCCTAACATATGTACAATCCCCCTTCACGGATATACCAAGCAGGACTGTATCCTATAGCTCTAGGTAGTGATCACTTATCGTGGATATACCAAGCATGATCACTCATAGAATGCGTATGGTCCCCTATTGCTAATAAACCAAGTAGAACCATAAGCATAGTCTAATTGTACAAGTGGTGATCACCCATTGCAGATATACCAAGCATGATCACCCCTGAAATATGTATGGTCCGCTGTCGCGAAT